GGGCAGATGTTATACATTTTTTTTCTTCTGCTTCCCTTTTATGAGATTTGTTTCTTTTTTGTTGTATTGAAATTTTTATTTTTAATTGAAATGAATAAACTATAAACTATATTTAAATAAAGAGCTTGTGCAATGTATGAGCTATCAGAACGTATGTTGCTAACTGGTCTCAATTACTGCCACACCAATTTTTAACCCATTTATGTGCCCTTAACTTGACAGACAAGGATCAGGGTAAATCCAAAAGTTAGTCAGTAGTAGAGGTTCATTCAGTTATTACTTTCTGCAAGTTTTTTTTTTACAACTTGTCCAGTGGTTTCTGTAATATTTTAATTTTAGTAACAGACAGATAAAAACACAGACAAAAAYTTGCCACTAAAAGGCAAAAGAAAAGGACTGAGAAAAATAGGGCTTTATCACAACTCTTATTATAAACAGGTTTAGCAGTATTTCTTCAGTTGCATTTTCATCCAGACTGTAAAACCCCAAATCCAATGACTGTGGGACYTTGTGTAAAACATGAATAAAAACAGAATATGATCATTTGCAAATCATTTTCAGCCTATTTAATCTAAAACACTTCAATGACAAAACATTTCATGTTCAAACAAATAAACTTTTTCTAAATATTTACTCATTTTCAATTTGATGCCTGCAACTCGTTCCAGAAAAGCTGGGACAGGGGCAACAGAAGATGGGAAAGTTGAGGAATGGCCGAGGACTGGAGGAGAACAAAAGTAAGCGATAGCAGAGCTTTGTGTCATGAAAACTGCTGCGAGCTGGACGGTGAGCAGGGCCTGTCGTGTTGCTCCAAGGCAGTGATGGCGTGATGTGTACATCTGAAGTGACAGCAGACTAAAGCAAACAGATCTCCCGTCTCTGCGGTACTCAACTTTGTTGCCGTGGGTATTTTGTTCATTCCAAACAAGTTAGCCACATTCACGGAGATTCTCCCCTGGTTCCAGCTCCGTCTTCCCCAAAGTTTGAAAAATAGTTAGAAAAGCTTAAATGTCAGTGACAGCTGCATGTATTTTTTAAAGATTCCCCCCACTGCCAGTGCTACAGAAACCATGTAACTTGGATGATGTAATTCCGTTAAAGATGAGAAATGCAGAAACTGCAATGATTAGAGCAATGTTGATGTCAGCCACCTTTCTTTCTCTCATTTCTGTCAAAAATGGGTTCTTTTGTCCCTGAAATGAACCCATGCATCTGAGCAGCAAAGATAAAGACAATTATATTTAGCTTATTTCTCATTTCTGTACATTCATTCGGCTGAATTAAATCATTATAGTTGTCAGTGAATGAATAGGTGAGTATGTAGAGTGCAATCCTTTGGCACTCGAGTGGGTTACAATTCGATTATTCTTGTTCCACTTTAAACAAATGGGTTTCTTGCATTTCAGAGTTATTTTTTCTTGAGCCTTAGGAACAAAAAGCATTTATTTTTATAAGCAGTTGTTAAATTTGTCATAACAATGAAYGTTTAATACAAGGAAAGGTAAATGTAGTGAATATTTACCTCAATGGTCACACAGTTAGGTTGTAGTTGCTCAGGTTCTGCTTATAACTCCTCTGATTTCTGCAGACACAGCTGAGTCAGAGTTCTGAGATATTTTAGATATTAGTGCAGGACTTTTGCAAAAACTAAAAAAAAAAAAAAAATGAAGCTTTGTACATTTTAACGAGTCTGCAGGCTTTCTGGTAAAGAACAATCCTGATTGCCATGTAGGCTTATTATTTATACAGTACCTGGTAGCAACATTTTTTTATTGTCTAAAACCTCTAAAAGGTTTATGCTTAATGTAAAATCACCACCAGCTGCATGTCAGTGGAACCAACAACTGCCTCCTAAAGCCTGTTGTTTTTAAGCTAGAGCTTAAGGTTTTGCTTTTGGTAATCATCACCTGGGGGGGGGGGAAGCTTTTTCTGACATCTCACGTTTCCTGAAAAAATGTAAATAAATTACTGTCTCAACAGAATTATAAGTCATTTGCTAAAGAAATTCAAAATTACTGAAGGGAATTGAAGGGAAAAAATGCTGGCTGAGTAATGCAATCACTGCATCAATTCTGCAGTTTCCAGACAATCTTAGCTAAGAAAAAAAATAGGAGAAATAAACTTGCAAAAACACAGTCCTCCCAAAGGCTTTAGTTTTATTTACTGTGTTTTTTATGAAACTACATGAACAGAAACCTTTATGGGGCTCAGTGCTGAATTCACGTTTGCTAGAGTTGTCAACATCTGCTCACATTGGTCACTCTTGGTCCYACACAAGTCTACATAGATAGACAATTGGGGTACAGAAAAGCACTACAATTCCCACCTTTATAGTTTTATTTCTGATATCATCATCAAAATTTTTACAAAACATTTTCTGACAATAATATACTCATAGAAGAGCCATATTTTTGCGCTTTGACCAGGTCTCCACAAAAAAAGCTTTTTTCTTACAATAAAAAGAAAAAAAAATCAAACGAGCTACAAAAAAGAAAAAAAAACATTGCATTACATATTTACAACTTACAAAAAAATAAAATAAAATAAAGTTTTCTGCAGAAAATGGATGAGAAGGAGATATTAGAGACCCCGTGGCTTGTATGGAACGCATTTAGGTGCCAACAAAAATAGAATAAATATTAGAAAAATTCAAAAAAGGCAAATTATTTGAGCCTGCAAAGAAACAAAGATTCATTCTTATATTGCTCTATGTCAGGCTCCTTCTGCTTGCTCCCTGTAGTCAGCTGTTGGACATGAATGCAGCACATTTAAATAAAAAAAACTCTTTTCTTCAGAGAGAGTACATTAAATCCAATTAGGGCTTTGTCAGGCAAAAGAAAAAGTGTGTTTCCCCCCGACAGAGGTTAATGATCACGCCTTTCTTTCCTGTGCCACCTCTGACATGAGCAATGGCAGAAAAACAAAGTTGGGACAATGCGGGTCGAAGGTTAAAGACTTTCTGCTAATGTGAAACAGCGTGGAACAATAACAATCGATGGGGAGCGGGTCGGCCTGAACATCAGTAACGGCGATGTTCGTTCAGAGGAGGTAGAGGAAGAAGGTGCTGTTGGATGGCAGATTCAGACACACACAGGCCATGTACATGCAGGGGAGGTCATTCAGTGCTTCCAGACTCTCTGTAATATTGAGAAAGGAAAATGTGTCCCTGCCATTTTTCAGCACAACAAAACATGAACAATAACAGAAACGTTAACTAGAAATCGGCACATGAGCGTTTTGCCCCTCCTCCCCCTAATCACATGTATGCTGACTTAACTCAACTGTGTGCTGTCAGAACATACTCCAGAACTGCCTGCTGGTAAGACACAGATGCATGGCAGAGAAGAAAAAGCAACAAATCCATGTCTGGCTAAGAATTATTATTTTTAATCTATTTATCAGGTAATAGATTAGGGCCCAGTGAACTGTCACAGATGGCCTTGGGTGATCTGGAATGACTGAGTGTGTCAAAACTTGCAGTATTTTATAATCATTTATCATGATATGTTTGGTTTTTTTTAATCTTGTGCGTTCATGCTTGTTTTTATTTCTGCAGCAGACTGATGGGTCAGACTCCTGGTAATCATGTGAACTACTATTTATGTATCTTTGGATGAGAGCATGCATAATACATACAGTTCTGAAGATGCAGGTTTTCTGTTTGTTTAGGCTGTGTACCGTATGCGACTCTGCATAATTTTGTGTGAGGTTTTACTGCTGGAGAGCTCTTCTTAAAGTGGAAATAAAATAGTATTTCAGAAAAAAATACAATAAAAAGCAGAAGGTTTTTAGCAATGGAATAAAATGTGTCACTAACCTAGTTGTAGCTGTATGTCTGTCTTACACTTCCTGTTTCCTGTTTTTTGTGCATCTTTTTTTACTCTTCTTTCTGTAAAAAGTTTTTCTTATTAGTGTAAATACTTTAAAGTAAAAATAAAAAATAAAAACAAATTACTACCATTCACAGGACCTTTGTTCACCCTGCTCAAGCAAGAATAAATAAATAAATTAAACAATTTAAATAAAGAAATGATTTCTGTTAGTTCTTGAGCCCTAACTCAAAAAGAGACTGGACCTGGGGGAGCTTGGGGTGTATGAAACCGTTTACAAATAATGCAAAATAGAAAATAAAGCCCGTTGGCACTGCAGAAGCTTGCACAGCCGGTCCTGGAGTTCAGCTTAAACATGCATCATTAGCATGCAGCGCTTGTGCTTCCAGCTTTCTGATGGCAAACGAAACGGACAAAAGGGCTGGATAATAACTGGCAGCAGGATTTGAAACATTCTGGTAAACATATCTGGTTTTATCAGAAAGGTAGTTAYGATTAATCAAATGACATTTAGTAACTGATTTAATAGTAAACATGTATAACGAATTAATGTTTCTGATCAAACGTATAGAAAAAAAAATAAAAGCTTTAATTCTAAATTTAAACATTAGATAAGGGTGGGCTTAAACAGGCGACTAAAAAGGAGAAGTTTTGGCCTGAAGTGAGGCAGCGCTGTCTGCCTCACAGACTACACTGTATTTCAGGAAAGACAAGAGCGGGAACGGGTCAGCAAACGCGATGCTTTAGAAAAAAAAAAAACACTGATGCTTTTCATGATGTGTGCTGCTGGTTCTAGGCCATTCCCAGGCAGGAAATAGCTCCTTCACTGTTTGCCTCCGCCTCAGTGTYCCTCCCTAACTGGACAAAGTTTTCCCGATTATATAAACATGCGGACAGAAATAGAACAACGTTAAACAGATTCACCTGAGTCACCAAGCAGCAGACATGAGATTCAGGCCAAGAAGTTATTAGGAGTGATACAGAGCAAGGCAAGACAAAACATGGGGGAGAAAAAATAAAAATAAACAAACTGAGAGAGGTCCCGTTATAAAGACATTGGCACATCTGCTATTACAAAATAAACTCCACCAGCACGATTAAGCAACCGCAATGAGTGAATCAACTGCCTTTTTTATGCAATTTTCTGTACATAAGAGGGAGTGAGCACTCTTCTTAGTTGTGATGATATGGGAAAGTTTGTGTCACTTGTTGTTTTGCTGTCTGTCTGTTTTTCCTTTCTTTAAGAATGGCACAATTAAACAAACACTTTCCATCCTTAAGAAAATCTTTAAATGGCAGGTAGTGTCGAAACCCTTAAACAGAAAAGAGTGGATTAGCACATAAATAAACAAATAAACMCAGCATGCGACCATCACTTGGAAGCTAAACTCTCAAACATGTCAGGTAAAAAATAAAAAAAAAAACAATAAATAAAAAAATAAATAAAAAAATGGATTTGTGAGGTTTGGCATTCTGAGAACATGACAATAACAAGGCTTCCAATCTTTCCCTCTTAAGTAAAATGACTGGATTTGAGAAAATAACCTCAGTAGCATTATTTCCATTTAATGACATATTCATGAAAGGAGCGGATAGAAAAAAATAGTCATTATTAAAACAATGAAAGCATTACATTAGGAACCCCCTCACCGAGTCATCTTGGTAATATATTCCCTCTGGAAAGTGAATAAGGCTCCTCTTCTGTTCACAAACAGTTTGCATTTAGAAGAAGTTTATTTTTTTCCTTCTTAAAGACTTATTATTTACAGGATAATTAAGTTCTATTTGAGTTGTCCTTTATTTAGTCTTATAGAATTTTTTGACATCATCTTTGAACACTTTTAAACTTAGTTCCAAACCAAAATAAGAAAACAAAACAAAACAAAAAATCCTTATGTCTCCTCTTTTCTTGAAGCTGCATCCACCATTGATCCTTTGCAGTTTAGGCTGTAAATCAGTCCGTTGCTTTGCGGTAGGACCACATATAGCTTCCACAAGGCTCTAGACTGAGCTAGAGATGATTTCTGATGGGGTATCACTGCTGCATGTGAAGTCCTCAATGGCTCTGTGAGTCAGTGTCTAGTGGTGCTTCACATGGTGACCTCTGGGTTACAGAGAGCATAAAACTCCAGTGCAGTGGGCGCACTTTCAGAGGGAAAAAAAAAAAAACGAAAAAATAAAAAAAGAACAGAACATGTCTGGCGATATTCCCAGTACAGTCCACGGGTTTTTAAGCAGGTCAAAGAGAAGTCAACGTACTGGTTCAACATGCCCCCCAAAAGGCAGCAAAGTTCTTTGTGGCAAACAGGAGACAGGAGCACCGCCAGCCCAGCAACATGGTGTTCTTCAGTCTGATGAAAGTCAAACATTGATTTGACCATGTTTCAGGTGACCATCTGGGGCAGTGAGAGTGGTTTCGCCTTTTTATAAAGAGGACCTTTACTCGATAATATTTACACCCTTTCCACTTAGTTGAAGTTATTTTTCAAAGAATTGCCCATCACTGCCTTTCTAAAGGAATACTGAGTCATTCAGCTGGGACCTAATCATATACAGTAATTAGATTTTTCTACTGTGCAATAAGGTCTTCAAMGTTTTTTTTTTCTTTTACTTATAGCTTCTGCTGTTGTAAAAAAATAAATAATCAAAGTAGTGCTGGGAGGATTGGGTTATGTTGGGTGACTTTAACATCACTTTAAAATTCCAAGTAAACTACCCGGCCTGATCATTACTTCTGAATGATTTGCTCWTTTGTAAATATGTGACCAGGTCTTTTGAGAACAGCGGGGGGAGCTTTGGTGACAACTGTAAATTGACAGAGGCTTGTTTTGTTGTACAACTGATAGTTTATGCATGTTTATTAAAGAAATGTATTTGAAAACTCTTTGGTTTAACATGCACATAAATTAAAGTCAGCACTAAAAACATTCAGAAAACCAAAAACTATAGCAACAAAACAAAGTCTGTATGTGCTAATTTGTGAAACGATGCAGGTCTCCCTTTGTCAACAACTTTTGAATAAAATTTTACATGACAGTGAGAAGTCTATTTCACATAACTCTTCAGCTTTATATCTTGGATCTTTAGTCAGGTCTCCTCTCTCTAATGATCAAGACATTGCGTTTTTTTCTCTTTACCTTTCACTTTTGCCACAACAGAACTCGACTTTYGCCACTGTGAACAGGTACATGCTGAAAAAAGACCTCCTATGAGTCAGTAGCGAGGACTTTTAGGGGGGATTTGCTTTCAAATGCTTTGAAAAGAAAAATCTGAATGATCAGTGTACCTTTATACTGTATGTTAGTGAGACTGTGTTTCAGATACCAGATCCCTCTGGCATGGTTTGAACATGTAATCCTTCAGATCATGAACTAAAAACAAGGCTTCACTAAAAAAAAAAAAGAACACCTCATTTGCACCTTCATTTAAAAGTCAAAGCGAATCACAGACGCTTGRCCCACTTTCAGCAACCAGATTCACTAGCGTCCAAATTTGAGCGTGCCGGTGCGCTCGGCGGGAGGAAAAGGACAACTGCTGGGAACTTCAGTTTGTGGTATGAAGGAGGGTGGAGGGGAGCGGGTCCCTGGCACAGGGGCACCTATGCTGGCAGCCGAGGGCACAGCGGGCAGGGCCACTGTCTGTATTGTGCCCCTATCGCATGGCCCCAGGTCTTCGAGTCCCTCCAGGCCCTGAGGTGGGCCTTCRTAGCCCATGTTGAGCCGCAGGGGTTGGTGGGCCTGGCAGTAGTCTACAATAGGCTGTTCGTAGCGATAGAAGGTCAACGCACCCATCTGGTGGGGGACCTGGTAGGAGGGACAGAAAAGAGGAGCAGAGGGAAATGGAGAGGGGAAAGATGGAGAGGAGGACACACATATGGAGAAGAAAACAGAGATGAGGATAAAAAAGGAAAAGAAGGAATAAAGATTAGTCAGAAAATTCCACAGCAGAAAAACTGCATCACTGTCGGAAAAGAGAAAAACAAAATTAAAAGGAAAAGCAAGTCAATGCAATGACCTCAGATCAGGGGTGGGCAATCCTGGTCCTCGAGGGCTGCAGCCCCACAGGTTTTATGTTTTTCCCTGCTTCAACACACCTGACTCTGACATTAAATTACCTCGTCCAAGTTCTGCAGTATGGAGGACCGACACTGACATAACTAGAAAAAAGGCAGCAATAAATAGATGGACCACTAAATAAATACAATTAAAAATGCACCAATTAAATTAAAAAAGAAAGCTTTACCTCACGTTTTATAATTTAATTGACCATCATATTTATTTTTCCAATGTAGTTAAAACTAATCTATTTTTGCACATAATTTACAT